AGACGTTATCACGTAAACATCTCGATCGTAAACCTACTTTACAAACAACCAATTTTTTTTTAGTAGAAGTAGTGCATTAAAACAAAAAACTGTTGCAAGCTTACTTATAATGTTTTACTTATTTCCTTGTATTTTTATATTATAATGTTGTTTATTAGATAAGATTATTTAATAAAAACACCGAAACAATCATGTTAAGGAAGATTAGAATTGAATCAAATACTTCAACGATTGTTTTTTCTTTTGCTGACCAAGAATATATGTATGTTTTAAGCACTTAGTTTTAATCAAGGCATTTTTTTATAATAACTCATGAGAAAAACCCCCCTTTTTAATCTTTCTATTAGATAAACTGTATCTATCAGAATATTATAGATTATATAATAAATCTAATCATTATTTGAAGTTGATGTAGATGGATGTATTTGTATCTACATATATTTGTCTATCAGATAATAACATACATTCTGATTTTTATAGTATTTAAGGAATATACAAATTAAATTACATTGTACTGTCCCTTATTATTTTATAGTTTTTAAGACAGCGAGTTAATTTCAAAAGTAATTATTTTACAGGCCTTTTTTGACGTCGTTTCTATAGGTTGTTCAGTTAAATCGTTTACACGCCATAAGTTTAAGTCAGTGGTGGCCTAGTGGTTAAAGAGTCCGCCTCTCGTTGCCGAGGGCGCGGGTTCAAATCTGGCAAGTATCAATGTGATTTTTCGGAGTCATATGTACTTTCTGAGAGTATTTAGACACCACTGACATACGGTGAAGGAAAACATCGTGAGGAAACCTGGACTTATAGTTTCACAATTATAAGTTTGAAATCACCAACCCGTCTTGAGAAAGTGTGGTGATTAATGCTCAAACCTTCTCCATGTGAGAAAGAGGCCTTTGCCCAGTAGTGGGCTCTGATAGGCTGATGACTACACACCATAACTGTTTAGAAAAAGTGCTGTTAGTTTTTGAAAAAGTGATTCATAAATAAATTGTATTTTTTATATCAAAATCAAATTGAATCACCTCATGATGTAACGATGGTATGTATCTTAATTCTGAAGTTCCGGTCACGTTTTCACGAGAGTATAATCCAAATCTTTGTAGATATGATATCTGTGTGTTAGTCCGTTGGCATCATCTCTGAATACAGTTTACATAGATTTTTACGTATCGCAGTTCAAATATAGGTTGAATGAGAAACGGTCCAGGGCTCGTTAGTAATAAAGTTCCTTTTTAACACGCTTATATTAGCTTGGGCTGTATGTATGTAACGGAATCTTTGAGCACGATTTTTACCGGTTTCTAAACATCTGATTAACTAGAAAATTTGCATATGTCTCGAGGACCAATGACAATGCAATAATTCGTTAAAAAATTCCCATTATCCTTGTTAGGGCCGCCAGGATTAATAATATATTATGTTCATAGATCCTCTATGAGAGTGAAAGGGACAGAGCTAGTGTGCGATTTGTACATGTCCACAAAAATCGTACAAAACATACTTATAAAATAAATACCTTATAGTTTAAAATATAAAAACGTGTTTTTTTAGTTTTTTTAAACTATTTTCGACTGGACTGTAGCTGTTAGCCCTAATGGCTTTGACAGCGTCACAGGGAGGGAATAAGTTTGAAATGGTCCAAGCATGCTATGTGTATGATTCGTATTTCTTATTTGGGATTGTCTCAGATAGAGCTTCTTACATTTTCGTGTTTTTATAATGTTTCGATTGACTCTTGGGTTATTCCGAATTAAACACAATAACATTCTCTGATTTGGGTGTTATATAGCTATAATTGGGGCTCAATTGTCTTTTTAGTAAGTTATGTTTGTAATATACAATTCATTTTTCGTAATCTCATATTTAATTAATGGGTCACTGATTAGTATTTTGTCAGTTTATTTTTATTATTATCTTGATGTATAGTACAAACCTTCCCAAAGTGGCGACAACGCGCCCTCGTGGGCGCTGCAGGCCTAAAGATGAGCAGTATAAAACCCAAAAAAATATATATGAAGACGTTGTGTACATGCCTTTTTATATCAAAGCCGGTAAACAAGCAGACGGTCTACTTGATAGAAGGTAGTACCATCTCCCGTGGATATCAACAATATAAGGGCTTTGATTGTGCGAAAAGGAGAGGAAACGGTGGAAAAGGGAAAGGGTGGGAAAAGAGAGAGTACAACAGAATTTCTCAGTTATCGGAAGAAACGTAGTCATATAAGAATATTTCACGCCGATATTGTGTGAAAGTATGGTGCTTCCTCATTCGAACCAGCCCATGTTCGAGTTGTAGTTATTTGACCCCAGCTAGGCTCTACTACCTCAAAAAGTAAAAGTAAAAGGGAGGGTTGTCAGAATGAAGATCTTTCCCGTCGTAAAAAAAACCATTAGGAAGTCCACGCAAGGAGCAGGAGGACGAGGCTGATTTGTAAATTAATTTAGGTCGGATAAGTAAAGTAGTTTTTCAGTAGGTAAACAAATGGCGGCGCTAAATATAATTTATTCTCAAGTTTGGGAACCCCTGATCTCTATATTGCTAAGAAATAGAGTGATAAGAAGGTTGTTCGTAAATTTAGTATCACACGTTAATCTATTGATGACATAATTCTGATATTGTTCAACTAATATATTAGTTATTTTTATAACTTTCCTAATCTTCGTGTTTTTTGAATCGTACGACTATAATTATCAACCAAGTGTGGCATTTAATTGTCTTGTGGTTTATGGCCTACTTTGGCTATATCAGGCATTTAAATTATAAAATTTAACAAATGCTTGAAATGAATGTGAGGTCGATCGATATGAGATCGATGTGAGAAGTTTTATAAATTGATACCGGTTATATCGCGTTTCCAAGAGAACCTTTCAAAAGTCTAAGATAAAAACTATCCTATGTTCCTTCTCAAGGTCAACTCTATCTCTGTACCAAATTTCATTAAAATCAGTTTAGTGGTTTAGTCGTGAAAGCGTAACAAACAGAGATACTTTCGCATTTAATATTAGTAGGGATATGTATCATAGATAAATGTATTTTCCTTTTAGTTTTTGAAGTAGTTCTGTTATCGATATGACATATAGACTAGAATGGTTTTCTTCGATAGTCTTTAAAACATTTTCGTCATAATAAAAAATTGATGGATAATTACTTTGTAAATTTTTTTATTCACTCGTTAATTAGTTTCCCAATTTTGCAATGTTATCTTAATTTGGATCTTATATAATATAAAAAAATATACATTATACATTACCTGTTAATATTTTCTATAAATCTTATTGTTTTACGCATACTTGTAAACACATGCACAGTTAGATAATTTTAAGTATCAAACATATTTTATCTGACTCATAGTACGGTTTTCACGGCAGATTATTGTAACTTTATCATCTGGTGGCCCTTAGTTGATTTATTTACTTTTTTTTCATATATTATACGTATTTACCTTGTTTAAATTCTAAATATATTTGTTTTTATTATGAAGGATGAAAAGCAAATTAAAACATGAAATTATTAGAATAAATTATGACATTTGATAACTGGATGAACAAATATGTATATGTTGTTTAAGTATTGATTTTTATACCGGTTTAGTGAAGGACCTAAGACGAGGAATGTATATTTTCCGATTCATTTTATCGTATACAACCCATCACTTCACATTGGAGATACTTAAGATTAAGTATTACCATTTTCCTGTTCTTTTTAGCTACATATACGTTTACTACACTTTGCATTTTGTCACTACCACGAAGTTCTTCCTATTTCTTACTTAATAGCCTGCTGTAATACTATAATGAGAAAAGATTATGAATATAATACTGCCAAGTTTCAATGCATCACCATTCATCATCATCATCAGCCTATCAGAGCCCACTGCTGAGCATAGCCTCTTCTGACATGGAGAAGGTTTGAACATTAATCACCACCCTTCTACAAGTCGGGACGCATCACCATTACAGATAATTGTGTTATTTTATTATCAGCCGGTTTTAATTACTTTCGATAACTGTTTTTTTGGGCTACATATAACAAATTCATTTTATATATATCGATATGAGACTTTCCCTATTTATTGTTTATATTCTGACAGTCTTCGTATAAGTATCAACGTTTAAGTCTCTTTTGTTGATATAGATGAGAAGTTGTGATAAGGCGAAGAGATGAATAATTCTTTGACTTTGTAATTATGCATTAAATAAACTAGAATTCAATTGTTTAAGTAATAAAGGTATTACAAAGGTTCCTGCATCTATGCAAATTAATGATAGTAATATAAATACGTCATTATCAAAATGAACACAACTTTTATCAAGTAGATAAAAGATATAAGCGGCTTCTGAAGATGCTAGGACATCGAGAGGAACTAAATTCTGATTATTATTAGGTTAAAACGATTTGTTACAAAATTATCTTTTAATTCTCAACTTGTGATTCTCTGTGTATACTTTCTAAGTCTAGATGTTTTTGTTATAAATTACTCACTTTCTATTCTAAAATTCTTAAGCAATCTATAATCCTTATTCAAAAGAAATTATTGGTATTGCGTTTTAAATAACATGATTTATTGGCTTCGCTTGTTTTGTTGGTCTTTTATTGCAGGATAACATTTATTGGTATCATAAACGGATAATTATTATCTCAATATTGTTGTGAATAAAAATATATTCCGTATAATTTACATATTCATAAGAAACAATAGTCGGGTTTCTTGCACAAATAAACAAAAAATATAATGAGTAACTTATTGCAAAATTTATATATAAATATGAAGAGATATTGGATAAGATTAAAAACGATATATAGTAGATAGCACATGTTGATTAGATAGGCAAAAAGACGTTCAAAAATATACTTCAGTCTGAACTGAACTTTGCAAAAGTAGACGCACTTATTGAAGTTGTGAGAAAAAAAAATAGTTTTAATAACAGATATAAATATCCAGATTATGCAAAATAAGCAGTGTTGAAAATCCATATTTATTTAAACATATAACATGGAGTGGACACCACTTGTGAAGGGTGAGTAGATTTATTTTTTTTTCACTTAAATAATTTGACATTTAAAACATTGTTATGATCTTATACATATATCGAGTATAAAGTGCTGAAATTTTGAAGTCATCAATTTATATTCTACCCTCTAACTTTGATTATTGCTAAAGATTTATTTAGTTATAATAATATCAATGAATTTGACGCACATATTTAAATGAACTGAATTTTGGTGTATTTTGTTCAGTATTTCGATAGCTAAGAGTAGTATACATTAGTTATTTATTATATGTATTTATTTTTCAGCCCAAGATCGGGTAAAATCATGGATAAATCCAACGGATTTCGATGTTCAGAAGTTGAGAGGTTTATTGCAGGGGAATATTATATCTTCAACTGTTGGGGAAGTTTGCGCTTACAGACTTCTACTCCAGGACATAAGAGGCGGTGAACTACCCTCATACGTGCCTGGTAAATATTATTAACTAGTTTTTGCCCGCGACTTTATCTACGGTAGTATGATAATTAGAAATGTATAGCTGATCGGGAAATCTCTGCTCTTACTTAAAGGCAGTAAATAGGAAGATTTTGGATTTTATTAACTCATTTTATTGTTCTTTTTCGATCGGATAAAACTATACTCTATCCTTTTCCTAGTTCTAAGCTATCTCGCCACCAATCTTCAATCAAACCCGTACAGACGTTTTGAGTTATACTCGTAAATAGTGTAACTAACACGACTTTCTTTTATATCTTAGCTTCGCTGAATACTAAACATTAATTAGTCTGATTATGTTGTCTGTGTGTTCATAGAAAAATATTTAAAAAAAAACTTAATTTTTAAAGCTCTTTATCCTGAAAATGATAATATTATTAGTAGGTATCTAAGAGTGTACCATAACGATTTTTCAGATATTCTTATCGTATCGATGTCGGCATTGGAAGCTATTGTCACTCCCTTTGTGAGCTGGTGGGGTTTTAAGAACAGGAGACTCCTCATGATATCCTACACTCTTATGGTTATACTGACAACTACCACCTTGTACTTTTTACCATCAGCGGCTGTCAGAGAAGAGTCAGGTAAGAATTATAAGAGATATTTACCTTTCACTGTTACTGATAAGAAATTACACCTCAACTTCAAACAAGATTCTTTGATACTTAAAAATAAGAAATAAAGATTACATCATTTTATGTAATAATCAAATAATTAACTAGTCAGTAATTACACAAGTACTGTTCTTGTTAACTAAGCAAGGTATATGTTTTTTAAAGCATGCTAGGTTTACATCCAGAAGACTGCAACTTAATGACACTCTGTTTAGCTTAGATTTTATTTTGTATGCACTAGTTGTAAGTCAGTTTTGAAAACTTAAATAAAAAAAGAGAATAGATTGTTAAAAATATATATTACGGATGGAAAGATTTAGTGTATCTTCGTATGGTTACTTTTAAGAAGTGAAAACAATATAAAACAAGTGACTAATCTTAAAAATACAATCTAACTATTGTAGTACGTCATATTTTAATTAATATTTCAGAGTTCTGTGACGCGGCTAACTCAAACAACGACTTGTCCTTCGTGGGTATGAGTGCGCGGTCAATAATACGCCTAATATTCATTATCTTTTCGATCGCGGCCTTCCAGTTGAACCGAGTGGTCACTTGGACACATGGGATTGGATACAGTGATGAGTACGCACCTGAAAGAACTAGCGTACACTATGGTAAGTGTATTGACCGTGCGGGTGCCGGGTCTATTGTTGTAGGGAGAGGAGCTTTAACAGTGCCTGGGACTTGCGACCCAGGTGTAAGTTTAAAGGAGCCCTATCTAACTTGCATTAAAGGGTCACCTCCACTGTCCAAGCTCCTCTTTCTACCAAATTCGAAAAGAACCTATTAGGCATGCCTTCGAATCATGTTCCAAAAGTGAATTGATATTAGTTCTAAACAAGACAGCCAGGTATAGACCAAATTTAATAATCATTGAGGTGGCGAATTAATCCTAGTCTTAAATTTCAGTATTATTTAATATTTAATAAACCATAATTAAAATGATGATTCATTAAATGTTAAATATACGAGAACTGAATAGAGATTTGGTTGTATAAATACGTTTTATTTCAACATTTCGTCATAGGTATGAATGTTATCTTATTTTAGGAGCCCTACTTCTGGTGCGTGTGGTAATTTTGGTTATTGGTAATCGTATGGTGGCTGATCTGTTGGACAACCTTCAGCCGCTCCAAATTTCGATGGTACTCTTCGGTTATGTAGTCAACTTCTTCAAGTTCTTCTGCGTCCTTCCCAAACACGCTCCTGAAGTTGATGGCGTGCAGAAAACTCAACTTCCAGTTATAGGACGAAGTAAGTTTTATGTTATTTAAATTATATCTTATTAGATAAGACATTATAAATTTGAGCACACGAAGAAGATTGTTAATATATTATTCATCGTTAGAATAGATTATATTTATCGTTCTTTATGGCCTATTAAACAGTAATTTCCTTAAATTTAGAACATTGAGCTTCTGATAAAAACAGCTTATGAGATTAGCTGTTGCCTTTATTTGTAAAGTTTTAATACATAAAATCCCACTATAGTTAGTGGCACATGAGCTAACCTTTCACATCTGTAATCGGAAATATGTCTGAACAAACTTGAACGTTACCTTGCACCTTAAATTGCAGTTCCTAATAATTTTATAAAGGAATGTAATTATATTGTAAACGTAAATATAATGACAAAAAATATTTATGTCACTGCCAGCTGAAACCTTTCTTTCTGTTATGATGTAATACTGAATCAAAACACTTTTATTGTTCACACATATACTAGCGGCATACTTATCCATAGTCCACCTTCTTCTTTGCCTCTTCCCACGTTAGGTGGGGTCGGCTCCAATATATCTATAGTCCATACTATAATGTATATTATTTATTATTATTTTAGGTTTTCCTCTAAGCATGGCCCGTGTGTTGTCTCTCTCGCTGGTGTTAAAGCAGTCAATGGCGGCTGGACTTTTAGCAGCTGCGCTGTGGGGTATAGGATACAGTCAGGTCCAGATCGCCAAGGTATAAAAAATATTCAAATTATTAATCAAAGTATTATTGTTAATATGAGAGGAGCTTGGACGGTGGAGGTGAGTGTTTAATATTACGCGTCTTAAAGGTCTAAACCTACACCAGGGTCGCGAGTCTCAGTCACTGTTGAAGCTCCTCTCAAATCCGTGGAATGCTGAGGGATTTCTTTTCTTGGTATCTCCACAATTATTGGAATTAACTTGAATAACATTAGTTTCATTTTTTAGATAAAGTTCCTCGTAGCTCCCAGCGCTAGTATAGGTTTGGCTGAAATTCTGCTCATGGTATTCATCGTATTTCCCGTGGCTGTGAGTTAAATTACTTTATAATTAATAATATATAATTAGAAATTCTTTTAATAAAATTATTACTGTATATTTTAATATCTAGAGCCAAAACTGGTTGTTATTTTTATTGTAATATTGAAGGCAAGTTAAGTTTAATTGACGTTTCCCTTATTCCAGCTTGCAGGTGTAAAGTTTTCAGTTCCAGTGCTGATGGAATACTGTAAGAAGAAAGCTCTGAAACAAATAGTTATCATGACTGCCTTCGCGTTTAAATTTCTGGTTCTACTCATCGCGTTACCCAAGTGTGATAGAGGGAAAGTGTCTGGTTTGGGAGACTATTATTACGACCATCCGCAGTGTAGCTTTTCTTGTGGGTATGTTTTCAAATAGTTTAAACTTTTTATTTTAATACATCTTTTAGATAACGATTCTTGTCTTGTTCTTTAAAAAGATAGTTACAAAAGAGACAGAGTGAACTATCAAAATATGCAAATATTTGTTTGAATCTAAGAACAATTTGAGAATAGATTGTTTTTGAGAGTTTCGTGCTCACCAAAAAAATGTTGCTACTGTTGATTGTTGGATTGTAAGTCGGGTAACTTCATAATAGTCTTTTTAAATTGAAAGTATCTTACTACACTCAACAAAAACCTTTAGAAATATTTTTCTGAAATAATAGAAAAGACGCTAAAGTCAAATTGCATACATTGAAATACAATTTTAATTGTTGATTTTCTTCCATGATAGCTGTAAGCCCACGTGGTCGGAGTTCAACCCTGTTTGTGTGACAGACAACATGACACCTATCTCTCTCCTTGTCACGCGGGGTGCAGCAGCTCAGAAACGATTAATGGAGTGTTGTGAGTACTTCGATAAAATGCCTAATTATCAGTAGTTCAGCACCACGTATTTTTTCACAAGTTCATTATTTGTTTTGTTATTGATATTTATATAAAAGCCATCAATAAATATTTATGACAAATCATGATACTAGACACTATACAAACATTCAAAAGTCAATCTTAGCCTTTCAAATAAAATTTTTCTTTGCTTACGGTCCAAAATATTTTACTTATCCTAATTAATTTAGTTCATATTTTATTTCACTACTAGTTTTTGCCCGCGACTTCGTCCGCGTTAGTTTCGTCATTAGTAATATATGTACATCTGAACGGGCGAACTCTATTCCGTCTTAGAGGCCATAAATAATCAGGTTTTTCCTGTTTCAATCAAACAGAATGATTGACATATTAGTTAGTTGTCAAATCTAATGTCAAAAAAAACGTTTGTATGGGAGATAGAAAAGAGCTGTTTTTAGGGTTTTCCCGGCAATTATTCCAATTTTTCTCACCTTTTATACCTTCCCTGAACCTCCACGAACATTTCAAGACTAAGATAAGATAAATCCGTTCAGCCGTTCTCGAGTTTTAGCGAGACTAAGGAACAGCAATCCATTTTTATATACAGGGTGACTGGTGAATTACTATCAATATTTAAGGAGAATACTCGGTACATGATTCTCATTCGAATTATGTAAAAAAAATAGGCACTTAATTTTTGACAAAATTTCCGTATAAATAAATAAAGTGTTGACACGTTCCAAGTGTTCCAATTGTGGACACATGCGGCGGCGTGCTGATACAACACCACGCCCCGCTCGCGTATGTGTGAGTGTGTGTGTATACCTAATCTGTAGGGTGTTAACACGATGCGTAATTAATTACATAACTTTTGGTTAACTTTACTTAGAAGTTTATTAATATTTATGTTATATTAATTTTTATTTTGTCATATATGATCGTAAAATATCACGTCCTCAAGTATTGATAGTAATTCACCAGTCACCCTGTATATAGAAGATTCATTAATACGTTCTAGTTAACCAATACTATTGAAAGTAACATTGATTCTATTCACTCAGGATTTATCCACATTTACTCTAGACCAAAATTTACTTAATTTTTCATAACATTTTCCTTGAATCTTTCTATTAATTGTAATTTATCAACATGTTTAATTCCTCCTTCCCCCAGTCTGTACACAAACTGTTCGTGTGCCGGAGGTGGATCAGCCATTCTTGGAGCCTGTTCAGTCACCGATTGTGACAATCAGTTCTTGTTACATCTTATCCTCTTTGTCGTGGTGGTGACTTTCTCTTGTAAGTATTACTTGGTGTATAGGAAGAATGAAATAACTAGGAAAGTTCAACTAGCGAGGAATATATATATACATCTGTCGTATAGTATGAAAGTTTGGCAATGACTATTTGCGGGTAGGCTTAGAAGGAATAAATTTTGCATTATGCTTGGTCAATGAACACGGACGCTATATGTTATTATTATATGTATATGAATAAATACTTCCATACTGGTACAGTATTCTAATCACGGTAAGACATACGATAGTAAGAGGTTTTGTGATGAAAGTGAAGGGAGTGCTAGAGAAATATCTTCTGCTTTTTTGAGCTGTGTACTGTTATGCCAATACACATGACCAACTATCAACTGGCGATTGTTGTAAGTAGGCCTACACCAGCAATAGAGAAATGAAAGACTAATAGCTTATTGTGATATGGACATGCTCATGAGGAAGTATACAAGGCATAAAATAAAAGAAGTGATGACAATGAAATAAAATAGATACGAGTGTATAGAAAGCCGAGAAAAGTGTGGACGTTGTGTGCTACAATATATGTATAAGAGGATCCTGAATTAAATGTGCCAACCCCAAGTAAATGGAAAAAAGTCAGGGGATGATGATAATGACGCGAATGTGAACGAGCCTAAATATTACAAACAGTATATTATTAATCACGTAATAATTTAAAAATCAAAGAATAAGAACTTCTTAATCTGTAACATCTAACATTAGAAATCAAAAAAGTTAAGACAAGTCATCCATATGGCCCCCTCTTACTTAGAATACACCTTATTTTATATAAGGAGGTTTAATATCGTGTCTTTGGTTTCATAACTTAAATATGTTCTAAGATGCATCTGCTCTCTATAGGTTTCTTTTATCAGAAGGTTGTCGACAGATAAGTATTGTATACACGGTCAACCAACCGCTAGCATTGAAACTTGAAACTACTTCCTCAGATAAAATAATCATTAAAGACATTTAATTAATTGTATATATCACGATAATCATTTAACAAGTTATTTTGATGATCCTTCTGTTCTTATCATTCATATTATTGAACAGGTGATTTGAATGAAATGTAACGATAACTTATATACTGAAACTATGTCACTGGTGGCCTATTGGTTAAAAGGCCCGCCTCTCATCTCAATGTGATTTCTATTAGTCATATGTAATTATGTACTTTCTAAAAGTATTTAGACATCACTGATTAATGCATTCTCAAAGGGGGTTGATGTCAAACAGGCGGCCGGTCGTAATAATAATTAGCCAAAACTATTCACAACATGTAAGGCAGACCCTGGCTAGAGCTGGGAAAATTGCCAGGTAGAAGAACTTATTACTGAAACCTAACTGCAGACCTCTGGAAAGCGTGTATGTATGTGTATATTTTTTGTTACTAATATGGTTCTATATGCTTGTTTCCAGTGTTGGCTTTCCAAGCTCAAGGTGTCTTAATCCTCAAAACAGTGGATCCAAGAGACAAATCCGTGGCCACGGGGTTGCTTCTATCCGTGGTCGTGATGATCTCATTCGTTTGTGGTCATCTGTTATTTATGTCTATACGAGGTGAGAGGTTGCTTAAGTAACAACGCTTATGTGCTTTCACTAGCTGCGCCCCGCGGTGTTACCCGCGGATTTCCGGGATTTTCGGGATGTAAAGTAGCCTATATGCTATTTCTGGATGTCAGATTCCTGTATACAAAATTTTATCTAAATCGGTTCAGCCGTTTGAGCGTGAAGAAGTAACAAACATACACCCACACTCACAAACTTTCGCAATTATAATATTAGTAGGATTGTTCTAAATATTGAAATTAAGTTTTAGATTGAAAGTTTGAGAAAAACTGATTGATTATACTTAACTTTAAAAAGTTTGGAACTATCTATACTTTTTTTGATACGTCTTCTGTTAGCTTTTAATTCTTTTTTTTTTTAAGGATATTATTATATACTTTATAGTAATTTATTTGTTTAACAATCATTTTTCTCCAATCAGTGGCGACGTGCAGTTGGTACGAGGGTGGTGAGTGTCATCTTCAGAGCGATCTTTATCCAACCGTGGTCGGCTTCACGAGCTGTTTCTTCGCTTTCCTATCAGCTGTCATAAGTACCGTCTCCTTAGTTTTATGGAAGGTATATGATAACAATGATGAAGGCAGCACAAATTTGTGAAAATAAATGTGCTTGTAAATGTATGAACGGGTTGCCAGTGTGAAAAATACATCCTCATATATAAACTTTAATGATTTTAAAGTGTATTTGAGGATTTTCTAGTATCATCTGTGTTACCGCGTATTAAGATTATAAATCTTAATCTTTAGGTACGAGAATATTTTTGTCATTAGTTATTCATAAAAAATAATGTGAGTTTTAAAAGTTCATCATTATTTATTTATCATTGAAATGTAGCTGGTAAGGTCTGTAAATTTAACTACTTAAAATTTTTGCAAAAAAACTGTTTTATTTTGTTCCGATATGCAAATTATTTAGTCTTCTTATAACATTTTTTTAATTTTTTTTTGATCATTTAAATAGTATAAATATTAGTTATTAAGTATGTATTATTTGTTAACACAAATTCCAAAGACGTAATAAAAATTATGTATTAATAGTATTTTAAAATTGTCAATTGTAATGTTTTAAGAATTGCTGTAAGTTGTAACTTAAGGAATGTAATTGTGTAATTGCATGTGCATTTAATGCAACCTTTACTACAAGTATTAAATTATTTTAGATGTAATTTATTTATTAAGTCAAAATATGTAATAATATAAGTCTAGTTATGAAGAACGAAAAGCTTTTTTTTATTTCCCTTTATTTTAATCTGAAACCCTTTTTAGTGTAGAATTTTCTTTATTGATTACAATGTTACACAACTAAAGACGCCTTTCAACAGTGCCGGTTTATGCAGCATGGGCCGGTAATATATTCTGATAAGGGGCTCTTGATTTTATTAGGTTCTCAAGTTTAGGGCATTAAATGCAATAAAAATGTCGCTAATATTTTTTTTTGAATTTAGTATGGGTAAATTTAGAGATAATAGTTTCTATACCGAGTTCTTTTAAGTAAATAAATATGTTCTATAGTCAATGAAGTCAGATGATTAAGACGTTCTTTGGCCACCACGACTCTTAATAATTTTAATAAGAACGTTTACCATTACAGTTACAGATCGTGAGAGAAAAGTAAATACGCTAAATTTCTAATATTTTAAATAACTATTTGGTAAAACTTTATATAATACCTTATCCACAGGATTCTGTTGTTTTGCCGTTAATATAGTAGCCGCATCAATACCCAACAGCTCTGCGAAGTGCACTATTTCGTCACTTATGCTGTTCTCCAAATCATATTAATGAAAGCAATGACCATATTTTAGAATTTTAACAAAATCTCTCCTGTCGTGAGAGATTTTAATTGGAGATACGTCAAAAACACTTGCAAATCCTATTATGCTTTCATACGTTTAAAGCACAGTATATTATCGAATATGACAAAAAATACGTTTGGATTTGTGTACGTTATCCAAGTGTTTGATTTTCAACAAATTCGTCGGGTGTAGAAGAAGCATTGAAATATTTGATATATTTTGTATTTTAAATGATTCTTCCGGATATCTTTTACTGGTGTTCTTTCGTCAGAATATTTGAAAATATAGATCATAAAGGATCTATCATGTACTAAATTCTTGAACGGGTATCTGGAGCGAAGAACCAGTCCCTTGCAAGCGTTCTAGGATTCCATTCCATGTAATTCTCATAATTCCCGTTCTAATTTATTTGTCGTTGAAACTAGTCAGTTAGCTTTATTATTGTACTCCGTTTATTATGCACGTTTTTAAAAATGTCTACCAGAACTTGCTTAACCAATAAATATATTTAAATATAAATCTATAAACGTTGGGACATTAACTTAAAAAAAGTTATTTGGTATTGTAGTGCCTTTTCGGGAGATTTCGCCCATGTGCACATTAAAATTGGGTTCAGAGAAAAATGTATGGTAAGTATGTTAAAATAATACATATTACGAATCAACAGCGACATCTACAGTTTTGCGTGTTACAATAAAGAGATATCATACCTACAGAATACACGTGTAATGTTGCCATAATTAATAATTAACAGATAATTACAGCCTATATCTTACTCCGATGTCTAAATTAATGTAAAATTTTATAAAAAAAATAAGAGAGAGCAACAAACAATTACATTCCATACATATTCACCCACTTGTTAGTGGGGTTTATAACAAAACATAAGTTTTTGTATCTCTGTCTCTGCCCTAATACAGTTATATCACCAAATATATACAAGAGCGTCAGAAGGATGCCTCATGTCGGTCTTGGCTGTTCATATTCTTTATGGCGTTGTAACGATATGAACTAATAAATAAAAAGCGAACCTCTCGGTGACGCTGTCAAAGTGATGAAAATGGTTATAAAGTATTTAGTGGGCTAAACTCAAACTATGCTTAAATATATAAAATGAACTAATAACCTTGCTGATTCTAGTGTTTCTCTCACTTAGGCCTCGGCCTCGAATTTTGCGGGCAGCGGAGCGGCGGCGTCGGCGGCACGGGCAACGCATGCTGTTCTCCAAACTAGCGGGCAGCGGGCACCGCTGTATTCGAGGGTCGGTCCATTTGATTATACGCGTAAGATGCTGCCGCTCCCGCCGCCACTCCGCTGCCCGCAAAATTCGAGGCTGAGGCCTTACTTCTCACTGCTCTCACTACCACATATTTGTTTATTTACCAGAAAAATAAGACTGATAAAAATGTAAGGACGACAGTTTTAGAAGTTGAGTCTCTACCTGAGTAGAGGCACTTGAGAGCATCGACATATACATGACATGCCTTAGAGATGAGAATTGTGGCACTCCGAAAGAAAGAGAGGAAACGAAGTTTCGGTCTGTCTTTATCTCTCTCAAAATAGTACCGTTCTTAAGACGTTATGAGCCACTTCTAGATAATTTATATGCTGTGCATGTCATGAAAACTGAGCGCCAATCATCTATGAGGAAAGAGATAGTGCTAGACCGAAAGCATAGGCCATCGCTCTCACTCTTTTCAAACCAAAAAATTACTGCAGATTATACGCGTACGGCACATCCATTAGTATATGTCGATGCTTGAGAGATGTTTCCCATGCTAACTTCCCAGTTGATTCTTTTTTTGGCACAAGCAAGCTTTTAATACCAGTGAGCCTTGATAAAAAAAGTAGCAACAGACATCTCAATACAAGATGACACTAAAACATTTTGCAAATGGCAATAAACAGGCGTATAATACTTTTCTTAGTTTAAAATCGTCTTTACTGATGAATAAGATAAAACCTTTATTTGCATGAACACTTTGTGTTGAACGTCATGAGAAAATTCACAGTGTTTAGATCTTATTTCATATTTCGGAAATGGCCCCACTCCCCAATTACAAAGAGTTAAGGGTCAGAGCACTCTATATTTGAGGAAATGATAAAAAATGCAATTCTTGAAATCCAGGTAAAAGGGCTTAAGTAGTGTTGAAGCGCCTTCCCTATTACAACGATTTCCATTTATCGTAATATATTGCAGAAGAATCATGTCTAAGTAGCATATATGTATTTTGTCAGTTTTTCAAAAAATAATAAAAACATGGTTTTGGATAATATTAAATTATACTAAATTTCTATGTACATATATCAATAAAATTAACTTTTTACCCAATTTTGTTTATTTATTGAGAGAAAAATATTTCTACCACTGATGCAATCGAAACGCAAATTTTGACACCTGCCGAAATATATGACATTAACATTATAGAATAAAAATAATAGTACAAACTAGAAATCCCTGTCAAAATAATTAATTAAGACGTTTTATATAGAAAAATCGTATTTTTTAAAAAGAATATTTCAAGTGCATCATGGCTGATAACAGAGAAACGGCGGCTAAGGTAACAATGCTTATCTATTAGTTTGAACCATGTATATAAGTTATCGGCGGCTGATTATTAATAATTGTTAAAGTAATCTTGACCTTGTAATAGAGGTCGGAAGGTCAAAAATATACAGCGCAATATATGCTTTGGATATATAAATTTATATACAAGATTATACTTAGATACTCGTCCAAAGATAGGTTATCAAAATTTCTACAAATTATTGATATTTTTATCATACATACAACTTTTCTTATCAGATACATGTAATGATCTATAAAAGAAATAAACTCCCTTGTAAATGTTTTATATATATTGGATATGAAATTTAAAATTACAGGGTGATGACACACGATTGAAACCAGCGGTAAGAGAGTAAAAAAATGTTTAATAAATTTAGAATTAATTAAATATTTAAATCTAAATTAGTGTAAATTTAGGTGAGTGCATGAATGTATTAAAAATACTTTGTTTCATTTACTTTGTCTATTTAGTGCATGGTTATTTGTCAATAAAATGTAGGTGACGGTGAAATAATCAATTTTTTTACTTGTTGGTTGTAAATATTGGTGATAAATTAGAAAATAATAAACCTTAAACATCAGGAAGTCGCTCATTAGAAAATCATGACCCATTTTATGTTGTATTTATAGTAGAAATATTAAATTTCCATTTGTGTTTAATAATTGCTTAAAATAATTTACCTCATTTAATATTAGTTTTGAGCTTTATTCTTTATAGAAGGACAAATTATACAGTTATTTATATATTCTATGATACAAAGGAGTATGCATTTATTATTATTTCTTTTGAAATGATTGCTTAAAGCGAGCATTCTTTAGAATATTGTCTTTTTAATTTAAATGATAAATCATTGTTGTAAGCTATATGTTATAAACTATTTTACAAAATATGGGTAGATAATAGTACCTTTATATACATTGATATAATAATATCATTTAAAACATTATGAGTAAAGTTAAATTTCATTCCTAAAGAGGGTTGATGTCAGGCAGGCGGCCCGTCGTAAAAACAATTAGCCAAAACTACTCATAACGTGTAAGGCAGACCCTGGCTAAAGCTGGGAAATGGCCAGGTAGAAGAAGAAGAGATGTAAAGTTAAATTTCATATAAAAATTCTAATTTTTGATCCACCATAATAAAAGCTTATCTTTTTTAGAAAAGTATTTAGGTCATTGATAATTCTTTAATTGCAT